CAAGAGAGAAACCCGTAAGTTAGAGCGTAAATGGAAACAAACTAACTTAGAGGTCTTTAGAATCGACAGTATGTCACGTTATAAAAAGGCCCTAAAAACAGCCAGGGCTGAGCATCTCCGCAAACTAATCAAAAATAACCAAAATAATCCAAGGTTTTTATTTAACACCGTGGCTAGACTAACAAATAAACAGACATCACCAGAGCAAAATATACCGTTACAGTTTAGCAGTAATGATTTTATGAATTACTTCAATGAGAAAATAGAAAGCATCCGAAACACAATTATAAATGTACAATCCTCTATGGTGTCTTATGATTCAGCTTTAATTATGGCCCCTCTAGAACAACTAAACCGCTTTACAACGATAGGACAGGAGGAGCTTAATAAAATTATCATTGCATCTAAACCAACAACATGTTTATTAGATCCAATACCCACTAAACTACTGAAAGAACTATTACCTGTAGGCCTAGTGGAAGAGCCTCTCCTCAATATTATTAACTCGTCTTTATCTTTAGGTCATGTTCCAAAAATATTCAAGCTGGCAGTAATAAAACCGCTCATTAAGAAACCGCAATTAGATCCAAATAACTTAGCAAATTACAGACCCATTTGAAATCTTCCCTTTATGTCCAAAATACTAGAAAAAGTAGTGTCCGCTCAATTGTGCTCTTTTCTGCAAGAAAATGATATCTATAAAAAATTCCAGTCAGGATTCAGACCGCATCATAGTACAGAAACTGTAGTTAAAATTACAAATGATTTACTTTTAGCTTCTGACCAAGGCTGTATCTCAATACTAGTCCTACTGGATCTTAGCGCTGCGTTTGACAGTTATAGATCATAATATACTCTTAAATCGACTACAAAACTTCACTGGTGTTCAAGGACAGGCATTGAGCTGGTTCAGATCGTACTTATCAGACCGTTATCATTTTGTCTGTTTAAACGGGGAAAAATCTAAGATAACGTCAGTAGACTATATGGGGTACCGCAAGGTTTGGTTTTAGGCCCTCTGCTATTCTCAATATGCTGCCACTTGGTAATATTATAAGAAAATTGGAATTAATTTCCACTGTTATGCTGACGACACTCAATTGACCTATGGCTAAGCCACGGCCCCTCCACTCACTCGGACAAACACGGCACGGGCGCTATGGCAGCTGTCACAGTAGGGGACATTTCACAGGAGGCAATTGGTGTTTTTTGGAGACGGAAAAATTATATATCATCTTGAAATCACCTAAAGGGCATTAACTATGCATTGGAGGGTTATATTAATAATTTTATTGTTGAGAAGGTCGATGAAAAGCTTCAGCTCCAGGCAGAAATGAACAGGTCACAGTGTAAACATGATAACCTGCTTATCGTTGCCATCACCG